TAGACAGACAAAAATGATTTTGTATGAATATGCATTATATTTACATACTCTTGTACTATTCTACATTCTGATATACAAACGGAGTTTGGAGCGAGAGTGTCGCATATGCGACAACTACACAGATAGATGAGTGTATATTTATGCAGCAGGCAGACTGTGGCATGCATTTGGCACGTGTAAAGGGTGGGTCAAGAGGTTGAGAGGGAGAGAGAGATTGTGAGAGAGACTGACAGAGAGAGAGAGGGAGAGAGAGAGAGAGAGAGGATGCAAGGATGCAAGGGTGCCGACGATGGCTGGCAAGTGTGCGCCGCCAGCGCTATTTCTTGAGGACCGACGGCAAATGTGTTGGCAAAGACGTGTGTCGCTGACTCTGACGGTAATGCAACGTGCTACATTTGTGTGTTGCGCCACGTGTGTATCAGAGATTGTGTGTGTGAGTGTTTGAGTGTCTGAGTTTCGGCATGTGTGTGTGTGTGCAGTTGTGTCGCTGTCGGTGACGTTGCCGCTGTCTTTGTCGTCTGGTAATGTCTCCATTTGGCATTTGTCCCTTCTACGTGTCTATTTAAATTTGCGCCCGCTGATGCTGCACTTGCCACTTGCTCTAGCAGCCAAGAATTGGTTATATCAGCTATGCGCTTAACTCTATAACAGTCATATATATTTCTTACTAACTCACCCGGGTTTTGGTCAAGCTTTGAATTCTAGACTGAATAAAAAATAATGAATATGAATAAAATTCGATTTGAAGACTCCAAAGGCACATTATAAGCCGGGATAAGCCCGGGGAGGGGCAAAATGCAGGATAGTTGATCTATTGCATCGCAATAAGTCAGGCAAGTGGATTATGATAAAGTAAATAAATATGTTATCATCCGCAATCCATTCCAATTCCAAGGCACATTTGAATATAATTTGTATGTCGATATTTAATTGGTTCGTTTGCTTGAAACTAAACTAAGAATACCAATTATTGTAACCAATCTTTTATAGCTAATGTTTCATAAAATATTAAAGTAAAATAATCGAAAATTCATTATTTTGTTATTATGATGAATTCAGGAAAGATTTCAAAAAAAAAAACCTTCACAAAAGAACGCATGATATATTTGAAGAAAACCTATTTATATATATAAATTTGGACTTTATTCCGAGATGTCAGAATGATTCAACTGATATAAGCAGAGTATTCAATGATTGTGTTTTTCGGGCAACGTTTTTTTTTTTTTTGCTGCTGCATTCCTTTAAGTTAGTTGTAAATTGAATTGAAATTATTTGGCAAATGGCAGCGATGCATATAAGAAATAGGAGGAAAAAAGAAGGGAGAAATACGCGGCAGCATTTTATGCAAATCGAGTGACAGATTTTCACACACACACACACCACACACACACACACCCCCAGCCCCACCCCCAGCCCCCTTGCAAATGGCACCCCAACTCACCTCATACCAGATCACCCCGCACGCGTCGCTTGTGCGCTGCGAGCAGGAACCGTAATTGAAAAGTGCAGTTAGTACGTGTGCTGGGAATCCGGGCGATATATTGCTGCCACGCATACTTGAAGCCATATAACCGTTGCGATAGTAAGTACATAAATTTGTTGCACCCTGACATTAAGCGGCACTTTGTTGCCATTTGTGCGTCACTTTTAGCGGTAACGAAAGCGGCGTCAACTGCCGCCGGTTTCATTTATAAGCGTTTAAGTGATTCAATGCGCACAGCAACAACACGACAACATCATGAAAATGCCATTTTCCATTTTCCATTCACCATTCACCATTCGCCATTCGCCATTCGCCATTTGCCATTGGCATTTGTGTTGGTTTTGCGATTGGCATCAGACAACGGGCTGCAGGCAGTAGCCAGACCAAGGCACAGGTCCAAACTCCCAGTACCCAATAATCCTCATGGGTGCTTCGTGCGATGACTGATTGCAACACCAGCCAACATCGATGGTTGGCGCATTAAAGAGTTATGTTTGTACGCACATCGATTGTTAATGGAATTGCCAGCCAAGCCGCCAATAAAGTTCACTTCAAAAGGAGTATGGAGTCGATCAGAACACTTTACTTCCATTATTATCCTTTAAGCTTAGTATACAGTTCGTCTACCTATTAAATACTATTTGCAATTGCTCACTGACGATAGTAAATATTTCAGTTTAGTTAATATATATTATTTTAAAATGGAATTTGATTTTTTATTCGTGGTCCGAACGAGGTGCACAAATCACCGATCCAGCCGGCTGCACTGGCCATCATCGAGTCGGAGACCTCGTCGTATGGCGCAATGGGCTTTATCAAGTTAATAATCCGCATCAGATGGGACTCCATATGGATTGGCAGTCTGATCGACTGCCTTGAGACCCCGAATGATCGCTGTGTAGGCCAAACAAGTAAACAAGAAAGTAGAGCTATCCACCTGCAAATTGAGGCTGGACACTGCGGTAAAGATTCGGCTCAGCAAGATCGTTCATTGGTACGGACATAATCTCATCGCAGTAAGGCACGGAGGCACAACAAACCTGTTACTCCTGCTGATGCTTGTGGCCATTAATATAATTATTAAATCGATAAAATCGTTAATTGCAAATCGATAAAGCCACACATCATCCACAATTTGAAGGCTAGGTTGTTGCCGATATATGCCACGTTCTGCAACGTTCTCTCCTGTTTTGTGTTCAATTTTTGGTTCAAAAAATAGGGCAATCAGAGACAAGAAGAATTCAATTGACAGACACACAGCATGTAATTATGCGTAAATAATAAATGTTGCTTTATTGAATTTCATTCCATTAAAATGTTTCCACATAATGAGATGTGTGTCTATATCGTTGTAGTTGTGTTTTTGTGTGTTTTTCTGAGTGTGTGTGTATTTGTGAGTTTTTGCTGGTAATAACGCCTAAGTAATTGCATTTTGCATTTTTCTTTAGCTTATTCGAATTGTGATTTACAGACATGTATCGTATTTTTAATTGCATTTCTTGTATTTTTTACTTTTCCCTTTTCAATACACAGCAATATATAAAACATTTAGCGTATTCCATGCGTGGTTTTTTAACAGCATTTTTAACAGCATTTTTATTTTTATTTTGATTGTTTTTCTTTGTAGATCAGCAACAGTTGTATCAGTTTTGATGGACAATAGCTAAAATGACGGAATTTCAGGAAATATTGAAATTTTGGCTCTGACATAAGGCAAAAAGAGTAACACAAGCTTTTATGTTTTTAAACATTTTTATATTGAATATGTAACATATAAATATAAATATGTATTTTGATATAGATATATTTTATTTTTGTTTTGTTTTACAGCATGCACTTGGAGAATAAAATGAATGTTTGAATTTTCATTAAATTATTAATTTTTTTCATAGCTTTTCGCTGGTTTTTGATATGTTAATTAGCATTGTCGATTTTCATTTTCCATTTCATGTACACAAAATTGGATATTTTTCATTATTCTTTTCAATATAACAATGTTATTAAAATCCAAGAACGCGTTTTCGATAAATATTTAATAACCCTGTATCCGAGTAATTAGCTAAATGAAGTTTTCGTAAATAAAACGTATTTAAAGTATTCGTTATATCTCTTGATATGATAAAGTAGATCTTCTGATGTTCGAGAGTGTGCCATATGCAATATATGTATATATGTTTATTCTTTAAAAACATTTTCTATTATTTGTATTATTTTTCTTCATTTCTGTTTAGGCCAACGAAATATTTTTCACATACATTTTGAATGGTTTGTTGAATAGGTATATTTAAATGGTTTCGATATGCCAACAAATTCTACAATACATATACACTATGACCATTCAATAAAACTATTTTGTTGTTGCTGTTGTGTTGTGTTTTGTTTTGTTTTGAATTAATTTTGAAACCTATTTCATGATGATGCGTGCACTTAAATGTCTGGAACAAATAAGCATTTGGTTAGCGCTTTCAGTTAATAAGCCAAATTACATGAAGCAAAAAGAATAACTTGCGCTCTACATACCATATATATATAGTATACATGTATTCTTATTCAACTTACAACACCAAGTTGTTGCTAAACATTGAGATCAGCTTGAAATATAAACTATGTCGAGTAGTATATGTTCTAACAAACTGTCGAAAAAGTGCTGCATACTTTCAGGCGCGGCGTAAATATTTGAAATTCCTTAAGCTGGCTACCGCAGATCTCTCAGATAGATTGTGTGTGAGAGTGTGTGTGTGTGTGTATGTGTGTGTGTGTGTATCTACTATTGCACGTGTTGTGATTGTGTATTTGTGTCATATTCTATAATACACAAAAAAAATGTTTGCTTAAATTTAGTTTTCTTTTTGTTGTTTTTTTGTATATTTATATATATATATATATATGTATATATATATATATACATATATATATGCATACATATATTCTTTAATTGCCTATTACGATTTTCGGTTATGTTTAATATGCAAAATTACTTACCCAAGAACAAAAAAAAAAAAAAAACAAAAAAAACAGACAGACAATTTTAGTTTAAATGTGTTTTGTTTTTTTTTTTTTAACTTGCTAGCACTTGATAAAGATACAAATAAGTACATTATACATAGCTCAAAATAAAGGATGTACATACACAATTCAAAAGCGTCTACTAAAATTTAGGTCTAGTTTTAAGTTTAGAGTCTGTGATGGAAAACCTTTTTGAACCAAGTTGCAGTTCGCAAGTGTTGTTGGAATTTCAACGATTAATTGCGCTCCATTACCAATAATCGGCTTATAGGTTTGCTTTTATTTGTTTTGTTTTGTTTTTTTTTTTATCTAATTCTTTCACCTTTCACCTTTTCCCTTCCTCTGTCATTTAAAATCAATTTAATTTCACTTCTGCTTCATTCCGCTTTTGCCTTGGTTCAAACTTGTTTTCCATTACACAGTGTAAATTTTTGTGGTTGTTTTGTTTTTTTGTTTTATCATTTTCTTAATCTTCTTTATCTTCTTTCATTTGTTTTCTTTAGTTTATTTTTATATATTTGTTTTTTTTTTTTTGTTTTTTGTTTAATGTAGAGCGGCTTAAGGCATCGGAAAGTGATTCTGCTCAAAGTCTTTGTGTCGCTCAGCTAGCAATTTGTGTGCGCTGATATTCTCTAGCCGTCGATCCGTGATGGCCACAAATGGCAAACGCTGCTTTCGACCGGCTGCAGAGGAGGAGGACGACGACGACAATGAGCCGGAGGAGGAGGAGGAGGAGGGGGAGGAGAAGCCGCCAACTGTGCCATCCACGACGCGATGATAAACAAATGAGTTGAGCGGCGACGACGGCTGCGCTGTGGTGCTCTGTGGTAGATCGCCATCGGCTGGACCTGAAGTTGGACCAGCAACTGGGGCAGATGCCAGATGCCAGCTGCTCTGTCCGCGTCCGGCAACATTTGCCACAAACTGTGCGCTGCGACTGCGCGGCGTGCCCAGAAAGCTGCCCGTAATTGCCGGATAATGAGGTAACTTAAAGAGCGCCGGTTTTGGTGTGGAACTTGATGGCATTGCTCGCGTCACTTTCGTCTCCGCATCGATCTCCCGCTGCCAAAAGTCAACGGCAGCTGAGAGCTGATGGCCATCCAATTGCTTCTCCTCCTCGGGCAATTGATTCGGCAGACTTGTCGTTGGCGGCATTGGGGTCGTTGTCATCGCTGTTCGGCTGGTGGTGCTGCCTCGCTGTTGGGCAAATAGATCATCATAGCGCTGCTGATAGCGCCGACGTTTTTGCTTCACATACTCATCATCCAATCGGATGGATTGTTGTGGCTGATTGGCGGCTGATTCGTGCAGACCCGGCTGCAATTGGGAGTTGCTCCATTGAGTCATGCTGATGGGGGTCGATGGTGGCGGCGGCAATGTTCCTTCGAGCAGATTCAGCAGCTGTTTGTTACGTCGATTGTATTTCTTGATATATGGCGGCAAATTTGAATCCTCGCCGTGATCCTGCTGTGCCTCTTCCAATTCCGCTGCTGTTTCATAATCCTCGTCCGCATCATAGTCGGGATAAAGTTCCGGATGTGATTCGCGATAGTGTTCATCATACACCTGAAACTGAACGCGCGCCAGATGCGGCCATTTGGCATAATAGCGCTCCAGCTGTTCCAATTCGGTAATCTGATGGCCCAATTGCGGCTTTGGCGGTGGCAATGGTGGCTCTGGTGTTGTTGCCGGTGACGAGGATTGTGTGGGTGGCTTTCGCTGATAGGGATTCGGTGCACGTTGTCGTCCATGCTTCTGATGCTGATTCTGATGATGCTGATGGTGATGATGGTGCTTCAATGCATTATGATGATGATTATGATGATGATGGTGATGATGATGCTTAGCCTGATGATGCAGTTGCTGCTGCTGCGACTCACTGCTTTTGACGCCGTTGCGCAATACTGGACTAATGCGACGATACCAAATATTATTATCATTGGCAATGAGACGTTCCATTTCGGTATGATGACTGTCTGCTGGTTGCAGCGGCTGCAGCTGCTCCTCCCCCTCCTGCTGCTGCTGCTGCTGCTGCTGCTGCTCTTGCCCGACGTGCTGATGATGGTCGTAGTAGTTGACCTGGCCCTCGTAGAAGGGTTTGGGTCGCATGCCCAATGCAAAAATGGGCGCAGCATGCGCATGGGTATGTTCATTCTCCCGTCCCGCGTCCTGGTCCACTTCACGATCCCCTTTCCGTTCCCGTTTCTGTTCCTGTTCATGTTGGCGATGCTCGCGATCCTTACGCAGCTTCAATGCATATTTGGGCGTCAAAGTGGGCTGCGGTGGACTATGCTTGAGGTAGTCCTTGTAGCGTTTCTTATGCGACTTGTGCCCATTGCGGTGATTGTTGCGACGGAGCGCTTTAAAGCGTTCAAAGGCCGATGGCAATTCGGTGGCAATAGCAGCATCTGCAATTGAGATTGAGAATATCATTTAGCGGCGCGTTGGAAGGAGTCATGAGGTGGAGTCGAGCATGTATGGAAGGAATTGGAATTGAAATTGTAAGTCTCGGCACGATGCGCTCGCTCGGAAGTAATAGATTTCTATTAGGCCCGGGGACAACAAATCGCCATATTTGTGCGGATGGTTGTTGTTCCTGGTTTTGTCGTAACTGTTGTTGTTGCTGTTGTTGTTTTTGTGTTTGTGACCCTCGTCTAAGACCACAAAATCCGTTGCCCATAAGACCACAATTCATTTCATTTGATTGTGCATAAAAGTGCGGCAACCTCGCCATCAGCAACCCAACCCAACCAAGGCAACTTAGCGAGGGGTGCTTTATCGGTTGTTGCAACATTTGCTTAACATTCAACTAAGCTCAATCTGACTCATCAATTAAGTCTATTCAGGGCTAGTCCCAGTTCCATTATGATATTTCAATTTCAACTAAGTACGCCAATTGATTCCGATTGACCAATTCAACTAAATCCATTTGGGAGTCACCACTTGGTTACAGTAAATACATTTTTCTAGGGTATTGGTTAGCGGTAAAAATGCTAGTCAAAATTACAAGATAAATCTCAAGACCAGAACCCAATTTCGACAATGCCTGATTCCTGAATAGGAACCGTAACCGAAATAACCAAAGAATGAAACGGAGTCTATATTCAATTCGGTTTGATGCGCTGATTTAAGTAAATGAAGAAATTGCACTTAATTGTTGGTCAGTAATTGAGCATTGGTAAATAAATCGAGCCACCCACCGAGCGCTGGCAACCACACACGACAACACACACACGTAACGAATAGCCAGAGACTGGCTTAAGATGCGGCCAAGTACAGGACCTCTGGCAGTCTAGGCACGTATCGGGGGACGCCTCCTCCACTACAATGGATGCAGTGCGAAGTTCATTCATTTTTGTATTTTTTTTTTTTTGTTTTTTTGCTTTTTGGCTGAGGTTGAGAGGGAGCGAAAAATGCTTGAGACATGTTCTTCTTGGGACTGTCGGCTCAGTGCCAAGTTATACAATATTTGCCGTTTTGTTGGCTTTATTGCTCCAGGCAAGACCAAAAGAAAGAAAAAAAAAAGAATAAAGAATAAAGGAAGCTCACAACACAAAACTGTTGTAATAAAATGCCAGCCCTTGGGACTTTTGGACGGTCGGTCTGTCTGTCTGACGGTCGGTCGGTCGGTCGGTCGGTTGGTGGCGTGCCAAGGCACATTCCGCTTGATTTCAGTCCAAATTTGCATAAGTTCTGCATGGGCCATAAACTAATTAAGGCCACATGCGAGTAGCACCCTTTGGAGCATTCACATTTGCACCCATATTAAAGAGATTTTCATTTCGTTTCGTTTTTTTTTTTTTTTTTTGAAATGTGGTCGGAATTTTCTGTGCACCGCCCGGGGTGCCAGCATTCAATTGGGGTTTGCCTAACATATTTTCAATTTACAAGGTCCACAGCCAAAGCCCCAGCTACAGCTCTGGCCGCTGTCCAGCTTAGTGCACTCTTGCAGTCCTCCCCAGCTGACCAAATCAAAAACCAAAAACAAAAACTGTAGGGGGAATCCAAATTAAACTATGTTGGGAGACCAGTTGAAGCCACATTTTTCAACGAATCACTTGCAACCAAAATTTCTCAACTATTTTTTTTTGTTGAATTATTTGAGTTTAGCTGATTACTAAGGATTCCACGATTTATCTTTGAACAATGGGATCAGTTCTGGGCAAGGTAATAAAAAAAAAATCCGGAAAAAGTTATTCAAAAAGTTATAGTAATTAATAATAATAATAAAAACAATTTTAAATTAAAAAGCTTGAGAATTTGGGTGGTATTTTAAAGTTAACTTTTGCTGCAATGAAATTAAATTATTAAAATTACTTTATCTAATTACCAGAAATATTTAAAGTGATATTTTCAATGTGATTACAGAAGAAACATCGTATTTTTATAAACTCAATTAACGTTGTGGTTGTAATAGATTTATAAGAAACAAATTATATATGAAATTGAAGAAAAAAAACAAACTAATAAAAACATGTGCATCTATTTATGTATTTTTTTATTTGTGCCAAACAATCAACAAACCTGACTTGCTAATGAAATGAAAAACTCAAAACTCGATTAAGGCAACTATTTGTTGGGTTAGAATCAAACATAAATCGAGATATTTTTCTTAACCATTTGAATATGTAAATCGTTATAGATTTTCTGATGGCAATTCAATATGTTTCTAATAGGTATTTTGACTCTTTATTGTCTTCTCAATTTTTCATGTTTACTCTGGTGTTGCACGTGTGTGTGTGTGTCTGTGTGTGTGTGTGTTGGCCTTACAATGTCCCATGTCTTTCTTATTTCACATTTTCAGTTACGTGTCCCTTTTTAGCCATGCCGTCGCTTAGCCAGTTTGGCGTATTCTGTATGTGCTTACATGTATGCTGTATGTATCTTTAGATGTGCATATATTTCGTTGGCATTTGTGTGCTTTTGGCCAGACTTGTGCTTACAAGCATTGGCACTCACAAAAATAACTCAAGTGACTTACCCGGACGATAACGCAATGCGGATTCTGATTCCAGTTGCGGATACTGCCTCTCCCCAAGCTCATCGTTCATATGTTGTTGTTGTTGCTGTTGCTGTTGCTGTTGTTGCTGTTGCTGTTGTAGTTGCTGTTGCTGCTGCTGCTTGGTTTCATTCGTTCCCTCTCCAAAATAGCTGCTCATGAAATTGGCCTGTGATTTGCTGTCTTCGCTGTCTGCGGTGCCATCGTTGCTTCTGGAGTTCGGTTTCCCATCGTAGTAATGAAGCTCACCCACATCACTGGCTGTCATCTCGAAATTTCCGCCTGATTGCGGCTGCGAGTGGATGCGGCCTATGCCGTAATTGTTATCCTTGTCATAGTATCTGCCACCAAGCCATGTTGCAGTGTTCCCATTCTTGTTGCCATGACGCTTCTGCTTGCGTCCAATGGGTAGCAATAGGTGGCGGTTACTTGAGCTGCTACTGCTGCTGCTGCCGCTGCTGCTGCTTGCTGCATTTAATCTTGTTGCTGTTGTTGTTCTTGTTGTAGTTGTTGATGTTGTCGTGCTGCTTGTGGTGCTGGTGCTGCTGCTGCTGCTGCTGCTGCTTGGACTAGTTTGGATGTCAGTGGCCGATGGGGGGTCTGTTGATGTTACCTCCTTGGCAACTGCTGATTCATCATTGTCAATTGTGGACTTAATGCTTTCCGCCAATGCTTTATCATTACCAAAATTGTCCTCAATATCACCGATTGCCATAATGTCCTCGCCGGCCACAACCTCCGTTGATTGGCCTGACGCTTTATTACATTTTCGTTCATTTAATATTTCAATAGAATCAAACAGTTGCTCCTGCTCCTGCTCCGGCTCCGGCTCCGGCTGCAGCTGCCGCTCTTGCGATTGTTCCTGTAGCTGCTCTCGTTGCCATGGCCATGGCCGTTGCTCTTTCTCTTTAGTTTGGTCCTGGTCTGCTTCCTCTGCGTCCTCCTCCGCACTCTGTTGCTGCTTCATCTGTTGGCCAGCTCTGTTGGAATTGGCATTGGCATTTGCCTGCTGCTGCTGCTGTTGCTGCTGCTGCTGCTGCTCCTTTTGACTCTGTTGATTTTGCTGTTCGTGCATGTTCCTAAATTTTTTATACGCAAAACTTTTGCTGCCAAAGTTCGCGTTCGGCTTCTCATTTTCCATTTCATTATTCTCATCCCCATCTGCGTCACCATCTTCGTTGCTGCTGTCGTTGTCATCACCGGAAGTGGATTTTGTAGCTGACGCCGTCTCTTCTTCTGTATCATCGTCTTCCTCGTCTTCTTCTTTGTTCGCCACACTCTTCGGCAGCTTGCTCTCTTTATTGTTTTTCAATTTGTAGTTGTAATGGCTTTTATTGTTGTTGTTGTTGCTGTTGCTGTTGCTGTTGTTGTCATTGCTATTGCTGTTGCTGCCGTTGTTGTTATGATATTTCTTCTTGGCAGCCTTGCCATCTCTGGCTAGATACACAGTGAAATTCCTTGAAGTGGGCCTTTGAGATTCAAGTATCTGCAAGAATACAAACGAATACAATACGAATACGTAAAGACAATAGAAGCCCGTTGATGTCCTAAAACCAAACCAATAAATGGGCCAGTTACACATTATCTAAATATGTATATATATATATATATATATATATATGTATTACTATATATGCATATTGGGAAAGGGGCAACGTCGGAGTCGTATTGTGAGGATCGACTGCTTAATACTCTGATAAAAATCCTTTTATTTAAATTAAATAATATTTACATAATTCGGTTACTTTATAAGTCTTTTCTTATTCTCTAACATTGTTATTTATTTAAAACTTTTTGCAGAATAAAATATATACAGATATAATGTAGTACAAAATGTGCTGAGTTGATAAGAAAAGTCAACAATAATAACCGATAAGCAACAATACAAACAAATACAGAGAACAGATTGCTGAATTAGTCATATCGAACTCGAAACAAAGTCATTCTTCGGTGAATGTGCATATATAGTGTATATCACGGTATAAGGGAATATGGTGAAAGACTTGCAAAAATATTGACACTTTATCTGAGGCGCAAATGTTTCAAAACGGACAAGGCACAAAGCCAATATACTCTTCCAGATTCTCTATCTATTTGTCTGTCAGGTAAAACCTTTCAGAGCATAGTGTTTTGTTTGGAGATTTCGAAGCAAACTTCTGGACTTTCCACTTCTCAAACTAATCTGTCAATGATGATCGATCTGTCATGATGATCGACAACGGCACTTTATAAATGTTTTTTTTTTTTTTGTGAAATAATTTGCACTGCTTGAGAAAGACGAAATTTACTCGAACTTTGACTGCAAGGTATTTTGAGAATTGTACGAGCTTTAAACAGAAATTGATCGCATTGATTTGAATATTCAGGGAATAGATAATTAACAATATTTAGATAGAATGATAAATATAGAGTAATGGAGCCTATTAGTGTTAAGCTTCCTTATGCTCTGTATCCAATATGTTGGATCCTTGCTATTGGCTAAGCTGCTGCGCGTCAATGTCAATTGACCCCGTTGGGTAGGCTTGGGTAGATTGGGCCAAGCAAAGTGCATATTTAAGACCATCATTGGGGCAAGTAATTTGACTCGACCAGCAGTACATTGAGTGACATTTCAATGCGTTTCTCTCTCTCTCGCTCTCTCTCTCTCTCTCTCTCTCTTTCGCTTACTTTATGTCATATCTCTCTCTCTCTCTGTCAATCTTTTATTACATTTTTTTGATTTTTTTTTTGTGGCTTGGGTGGTGTTTCAATAGACCTGACCTCATTTTAAACACTTGCTGCTACAGTACCCACAAATACTTACACACACACACACACACACACACACACACACACACACACACACACATTTATATACTCACAATGTCTGCCGCATCGGACTCGTCATCCTCGTCAGCGGCAGGCTCCACATATTGCAGCTGGGTGGCCACATCCTCAGCAATGTCGCCATCATGCTGGTCAAATATGTCCTCGGGTATGGTGGCCTCAGCTTGCAAATTGAAATCTGAAAAGGGCCACAAAGCAAGAAAGCAGTTAAGTAAACAGTTATGCAATAGACCGGTTTACTATTTGCAAAACTTGGATTAGCACAAGAAAATCATAATAAGTCCAAGCAATGCACCAGACGAGATCAGGCATTAATTGAACACAACATCCAACAGCTAGTATCCAATTAATAATACAAAAGAGAAGCCAAATCTCATAGTTTTTTACAACAAGAATGCAGCATAAAATACTCTGTGCGTAGTTATAAAGTAGACACAAAGTTATAATAATAGAATATTATATTTTTAAGTATGTTCCTCTGTCTAGTTATGTGTCTTAGTCATTGATGTATGTATCTGCCCATATATAAAGTAGAACAAATTAAAGCATTATTCTCAACAAACGAGAGTTGCATAGTTAATATCTGCTTAGATTCGTAGTTCTTTTACAAACTATTTGTTTAACAATTTGAATGATACAAAAATAAAAGACATACAAAAATAATGGAAAAGGTCAGGCTAGGCACCTTCAAGCCCGTTCCGAACTGAGCCGATCAAAAATTTGTTGTATGATTTCTTTTATCCGTCTTTATACGTAAATAAAAGTAAGCTGCTTGAATAGGCTTCCACTTTTGAAAGTAGTCGCTGTGCGCATTGAATTTATATATATATATACTTATATATATGTGTGTATGTATGTATGTCTCAAGTTACTACACTTCCATGTATGTATGCATGCACGACCTGAAAAAAATTCGATTCTACTCATTGTTGAATAGACAAGAATTTGGCCAAATAAAAAGCCAGTACAGGACTGTCCCTTGAGTGTGTGTCTAAGTGTATATGTATATAAGGATATATATATATATATGTATATATATATATCCTTTATGCGCTGTCATTGACTGAATTGCCATTTGGGGAACACACACACACACACACAGTTGGGAGTCTTGCTGCATGCAAGATTAAAATAAAATGGAATAAAAATGTGTTGTGTGTGTGTGTGTGTGTGTCTGCCTGTGTGTGTGTGTGTGTGTGTGCGTGCGATAAAAGGCATCTTAAATTGTGAATAAAATGCTCGGCAATGATCTGCATAGAAGCATTGTACCATATATTCAAGTAAGTACTCTGCAACAAAAAGCAAACAAAGATACATATTTGCATATAGTAGATTGACCTCAAATAACAATTTATTAGTTTTGCCGCAAATTTGTCACAATTTGTGTGTATGTGTGTGTGAACTGTGTTGGGAATTCTGTGTGTGTAGAAAAGTACTTATAACTTCCGAAAAGAGAAAGACTTCGGCTCTTTTTTCAAATTTTGCAAACTATCCCCATATGCACATATTTATTTCTATTTTTTGTTGTATTTCACATGTTTTGTGCAAGCAAATTTATTTCATATTTTTCAGCTGGAATTGTAATGAAATGTGAAGGACTTTGGAAAATGCTCAATAGTGATTGGGCGTAACGAGCTAAGTGGAAAACAAAGGATCTGAAATGAAAACAAAACAAACTGCAGCATTAAAGGCAAACAAGTTTTGCTTGAAATATAATTCTTTGATTTTGTTCGTTAGTATTTGAATTTAATTATTTTCAGATTAGCTTTTGTTTAATGTTATGGATACAACTTGAAGCTGATGTCATCTGAAGCATGTTTTCAGGCAATTGTTATGGAAATCTGCAACTTCAAACAAATACAATGAGCCCAGTGGCTGTCATCTGACATCTGTTTGGGCGATGAGCAATCCTAGAATTATGGAAATCGTATGCGTGGCGGCTAATTAAATTTATTTGACTTTGATTGAATTAACCAAAGACAAACACACACTTACACACAGCAACTCTAGATGCCGAGAGAGGAAGAATCAGAATCATGGAAAAAGGGTGGAAAAATCTGGAAATAAAATCACGCAAATGATTTTTATATCCTCGGCGCTCTGTGGCGACACGTTACGGAGCCCGCCCACTCCCTCCACAGTCTCGACCAGCCCCTCTAGTGTCGGGGCGCAACATTGAGGTTATCATCGCTGGGCTTTGCTCATCCGACGCTTTGTGTTGCTCAGCTCTCAAGTGGTTGGGGCTTGTCCCCATCGTCCTGCTCAGCTGCTTCATGCCATAATGAATAAATGTCGCATTAATTTGCACGCAGCACTCTTTGTGGGGATACGTTTGGTTGGGGGAGGGGGAGGGGAGGGGTATGGGGGCGTTGGACATTGAGAGGCTTGGGCATATCCTTCTGCCGTTGTTTGCCGGGGGCAGGTAGCACCGCTGTTGGCATGGGCCCGTCACGTTCAGTGCTTGTTTTCCTTTAGTTCCACAGAGTCAAACAAACACCCATCCATCGCACGAGCACTCAGAAAAAAATCGCAAAAGCCTACAAAATTCGTTTCCAGGAATAATTTCTCAATCTAAGCAAAATATTCCTACTAATTTTACACACACAAAAGACAATAAAATCCATATGCTGTTTTTTTTTTCTTGTAGATCGTTTCCATTTTGCTGAAATAGATTTTTTAAAATGTAGAAATGCATACTCTCTTTGAAAAATGAGTCATCAAATTTGCTCTCTCATATTAAAATGAACTCACCGGAATTGAAATATTTTTCAATAATTTTCACTTAGAAAAATAAAGTCTAAAATTTCGAAAATGAGAAATTAGCCAGCCGTTTGAAACGATCCAAAATTCGGATATAGAAATTTATTTTCGGAAAATTTGGTGAGCTGACTTCTCTCAATTTCAATCCATTTTTTTGTGAGTGTAGCCTTGACACAAAATACCTGTCACTCTTTATATATATATATATGTGTGTGTGTGTGTGTGTGTGTGTGTGAATGTTTACTTATATGTATCTGTACATTTCATACAAAGGCGCGTAAACAATCTGAGCTCCCATTCCGTCTGCCACCTGCCTTCGTTCTTTCGCTGACAGCCCTATGCATATCTAAATAGTGTCGCACTCTGGAGTTTAATTATAATGCTTGTAATGAGCGTGTTGCATATTTAAGTGTAGAGCGCTCGCTTCTGCATGGGACCCCAACGATTTTGCAACACCCTGTCATGCCAACAGTTTAGGCTAATTAATAGCAACACGATAGTTGCCCCAACCCCCAACCCCCAACACTGTATTTCATTCGCTTAGATTTTTGCGCGCACACGGATGGAGTTGGGGTTTGCTACAAGGATTTCGAGGAGGGGGTGGGAGCTAAGGATGGTTTAAGCCATCTGGCCTATCTCTGTTAATTAACCCATTATGGCCTGTTGACTTTTGGCGTTGCTCGCAACTGGTATAAAAAGCCAGCCCATATGTGTTGCAAGCGGGCAACTTTATTCGGCCGCACTTTGGCATAATTATGTTCGCATTTATTGTGCACTCAACTATGCAATTTATCTTATAATACAACAGTGTGGGCTCTCTCCAAGCATTCGCGTTGGCTAAACAACTAACGGGCCAACTAAATTTCAACTGGCCCGAATTCCATAAACTCTGAAATGCAGTTTCAGTCTACGCAATAGGTTTAATATTAATTTGCTGATGTATTTAAACTGAATTATATTTTTGTGCCGGTTCTGGTAAAGCTTACGAACTATTTGGACTAATTATATCGGACTCTGTTCTGGTTCCGCTTTGACACATATTCATTTTTTGTAAATGAATAAAATGTTGATTGATTGCAATTAAAAACAAGGAATTTTAAACTTGCTTATGCTCGAGTAATTAACCATTGTCAACTGAGTCATTCTTTTAATATTTCCCATTTTTTTTTTAAATTAGAATTCTTGCAACAATATGCGCAATTTGGAGTGAGAGAGAAGTCGAGAGACATCAAGAGAGATACCATCCTGTGTTCCTGTGAATCTCAATCAAATGAAGCTGTTTGCATGTATTCATTCAAGTTCCACACAGATATAACCAAAACATATTTATTTACTGCTTAATCAAACTGTTATCAACTTTATCACAGCCTAACCAACAGAAATCACATTCTTACATTACGTATACGCAATGTGGGCCAACAAATTACACAAAAAAAAGAAAAAGATGACTCATAATATCTGTTGGGGGGGGGGGGGGGGGGGTTGTTTGTTCTTTTATTGACAAAACACAAAGCTCTATTGTTTATGGCACTATTATGTATTAGGCATGAGACCCGTGGCAAGCCCCCAAATGATAAAGTCTGCAATGTGTGGCAAATGACAAACTTTTGCCTGAGTACATTTTTTTTTGGTTCACACACGAATATAATGTGGTCGGCAGGGTCAAGGTTAAATCTCAGCAAGCAAATTTCACGTACGAGCGTAAAGCGCATTTTTTAAACGCATTTCAACAAACTTCGAATGACATTAAATTATTCAAATGCAAAGAAGAAAACGACAACGACAACGACAAAGACAAGGTCCTGGCACTTGCACTGCTGCAGTTGTTCTTGTCATCGTCATCGTCATCGTCATCGTTGTCATTGTTCAGTGCTGCGTGTGAAATCATCTCAGACAAAATACAGAGGGAATTGCTAGCGCCTGGAGTGTAGTCGTCTGACTTTGGGGAGCACAGCGTGTGTCCACTGGATTGAAGTGGCGTGCACTGGAGTGGAGTGAAGTGCTCGAATTGATGCTGGCTCTATTGTCATATCAACAACAACAACAACAACAACAATAATAACAACAACAACAGCAACAGGGACAACTACAACAAATAAAGGCTGAACAACAAATGGCCAACCGCATTGTTAAACTTGCGGAGATTTTAATTACACTTTAGTGGGTCTTGTGGTCGCCATTGTTGTCTCACTGCCGACTATGCACTAAATAAATTTACATCCCAAACATGCGGACCAGGTTAGACACACACATACTCCCACACACATACACAGTTATCTGTTGGCAGATGGTTATCTGCGATACACTTAGAAAAACACTAAGTTGAGATAATGAGCGTTTATACTTCTTAGAAACATATTCGTATATATATATATCAATGTCACAATCGGCACTTAACCTGCAGCAAAAGAAATACAA